GAGAGAGAGAGAGAGAGAGAGAGAGAGAGAGAGAGAGAGAAAGAACAGATAAGATGATAGACAGATGATAGACAGGGAGGTGGCGACTGTACCTGGGAGGTCAGTCAGAGCCTGGACAGGAGCAGAAGCCTGGGCATCGCTTCCTGTAACTACGTCGCCTAGATTTCATAAGAAAAAATAATTAGATATGATAAAAGGAAAATCGACAACCTTTTGCCCTTCATACTTAATGTTGTAATATTTTATCAAATTATTAAAAGTAAAGAACAGAAAATACAGTAAAAGCTTAGAGAAATATCTGACTTATTTTTAAAGTAAGCAATTTCTTTAAAAGGATGCTTCAGTGGAGATTCTGTGTCTGCTTTTACTAAAGGAAAAGCTCACAAGTTCCTACTACAAGTTTCTACTATACTGGGGATTTTTATGAGCAGATTTTATGACATTACAAATATTAGTATTACTGATTTCTTCCAATGTAAAAAAATATTTTAGATTAAACTTTAAAGGAAATTCATAAGAAAGCTCTAAGCAAGCTCTATTTTCATGTTACCCAGTGAAAATATTTCAAACTTACCACATGTATTTTCAAATGCATCTGTGAACTACATCCCTTTATTACAGGCAATATTTTATTAAATTGGAACCATAGTAAATTCTTATAATCAAGCAGTGTTCAAAAAAAAAAAAAAGACCCAGATAAGCATATAGAAAAGAAAACAGGGCTGGGAGAGCAGGCTTTAGTGACCCAGACAAGGAGGATAAGGAGACAAAAGGAGACGCCACCAAGAGTGGGCAGGCAGACACGGGACCTTCAGCTCTTCTGTTTCTGGGGTGACAGTGTTCAACAGTGACCACAGTCACAGCCGTCAGAATAGCCCCTGGAGACAGCAGTATCTGAAGACTATTTTGAAGTTACTAAACAAAAGGAAGCAAGTCTTTTAGAAGTCACCAGATTTCCTGTGTACTGTCTATGACTCAATAGGCTTGCTTCTTCTTCAGCTTTTCTATAATATATGTATATAACAACTGTATATACATTTTACTAATATATAAAATTACTAATTAGTATACTACAGGATATAAAATAATATGATTAACATATAAATAATATACAAAATCACACACACATATATTTTAGCAAAAATTATTTTTAAATTAAATAGCATCCCTCACTTTTCTGGCCACTTAATGCACTCTTGATTTGTAGCAGGGTCACACTGTGTCACTACAGCATTTCTATCAACTAACATAACACAGAAATGTTCTCCTATAACCAAAATAAAATTTGTGAAAAGGACCACATACTACAGAAATGCTTTAAGTAGAAATGAAATGGTCATAATCCGTTTTCATAATACCATTCACTAAATTGATAAATGGTAGGCTCATTTTCTGTATATTTTCAAGTCTATACCAGTTACCTATTTTGCTATATAGATTTCTCATTTTAGTATTCAAGATAACTATTACTAGGAAGATGAGGGAACAGCAGCCCTGCTGGTTTTCTTTTCCTCAGTGGACACATAAATGACAATGCACATTAAGTTACATATGCATACATCTGGATGACACAACCTCCCCTTCAGGATTACAGATTACTTAACTTAGAAAAGCCACATTTCCATCTTTACAGACAACCATCTCAAGGCAACCTTTGAACATTTATATTGAAAAGGCTGTCACTGGGTGGACAGTTCTCTGTAACAGGAGCCCGCAGACAGGCTGCTGTGGTTGTAGCTGTCAGTGAGGACACAGGGTCTGTGGGACTCCAGCACCAGGGCCAGAGCTGGAGGAGCACTCCTCAGCATACAGTGAATGATACATTTGTCACTGTAAGCACCACAGGTTTCATGAGTCTGCAGGTTCCACAGGCATCAGCTCGCTCAGAGCGCTTGTTTTAGGTGAGAAAATCATCAGAGCTTGTTTAGGTTTTACCAGTAAATAGAGGAAGATCATAAAGGAAAACACTCTATCTCTATGAATGGTTCTTTTTACTTTATCCAATCTTTTATGTAAGTAGGAACACTAGCAGGAATTTTTGTTGTTGATATAAGTTTTTGTTGTTACTTTGGTTTTTTTTTTGGGGGGGGGTGTTGGTAAGAGTTCACATGAGAAGAATGAGCCACAAACAAACTTAGAAGAGCTATAAAACAGCAAACAAGGGCAATTTCTTTCAGGATTGGGATCAGTTTCAGAGTGCCTCCGTGATACTCATGCTCCACTGTGTATCAGTGTTTCAGACAGCGCTGAAATGCTCGCTGTCTCCTTCTGACTGGGGAATTAGTCTTCAGCGATTGTTCCGTCTTCATGCACTTCCTTTCTCACTTACTGTGATATTAATACTTGACATTTCCTTAGAGATACAACTTTATATTTCTATAGTCATTTGGCTTGGTTTCTCAGAAAATTTAAACTAAAGCATTAAGAGATTCTCTGACTCATTTGCCTGCCATCAGTTAGAATTACAACAGACTAAAGCTTGTTATCAAAGCAATATTGAAATCATATTTGTTTAGAACAATAAAACAGTACAATTAAGAGATATATAAAATAACATTCATTTCCATTCTGGAAGTGGGCATGTCTCCTGGCATTAAGATACATTTTCAACATGTTAATGACTTGATGTCTCCTTTTCTTTAAATCATGTGTGACAGTCTACATTAAAAAGAGAAGAATGTAATTTTAAATGAATATTCTCATAGAAGGTAAACTGAATACTCTAATAAACCTTAAATACTAATTATATGAAACCTAATATTTCATATAGACAAGGTAATATAAAAACTAAAAACATGATGACAGCAATGGAAGGCTTCAGATCCACATACATGTGAACATATGTGCATTGAATTTCAGATGCACATTCATGTGCACATGTGTGCATGACACACTAACTGGCATTACCAGGGACTAAACTTCAATCTAAATGCCAATATGTAAAATCTTTATAATAAATTTATACGTGATATCCTTAAGCAAAGCATATGAATATAGCTTAAACTTTGTTTGTGCTGACACTGTCATTGCTACTGAGGCCACTGAGTACCGAATGCTGCTGTTAGTGTAGGTATCCTGTAAGGCATGAGGCCACTGAGTACCGAATGCTGCTGTTAGCGTAGGTATCCTGTAAGGC